AACCTTCAGATGCAGTGGCATAAAGCATGCCGAGACTGGACTCAGTGGAGACGTGTTCTCTGGAGTAACCAATCGATTCTCTGTTTGGCAATCCGATAAACATGTCTGGGTTTGGCAGTTGCCAGGAGAATGGTACTTGCTTGACTACATTGTGCCAAGTAGAAAGTTTGGTGGAGGGGGGATTATAGTGTGGGGTTGTTTTTCAGGGGTTGGGCTTGGCCCCTTAGTTCCAGAAGAGAAGAGAACTCTTAAAGTGTCAGCATACCAAGACATTTTGAACAATTTCATGCTCCCAACTTTGTGGGAACAGTTTAGAATGCAGGGGTCAGTAGTACATAATACACAGAGAATAGAGGTCAGGAACAGTGATGGACTATATGCTCAAGTCGAACATCGTCCATTTGTGTGTACTGCGAATACACGAACGGTAAGGGTGTTTGGTGGGCTGTTCACCCGCCACACCCCACACTGCATCCTGACAGTGTATTGTGATTGGTCAAAGCAATGCACCTGACCAAAGGTCAGGTGCAATGCTTTGGCCAATCACAGTGCATGATGGCGTCATAAGGGGACGGGGTCATCACACTTTTTTTTTTAAAAACTATCATCCCAACACTGCTGACAGACAGTGGGAGCCAACATCGAGAGCAGAGCGTTTTTTTTTTTTCTTTTTTCGGGTCAGCAGTGGCAGCAGGCATCGTGATTGACATTGGATGTACTTCAGGGGACATTTTTTAAATTTTTGTTTTTAAAAAAGAACTTGTCAAAGTCTGTCTACTGTCACTTTTTACACTACATTTTTTTTTTTTCGTGAATGAGTAGCCGTACCATGTACCCCATACTCATTCACATGAATGAGCGGGGATCTGGGGTCCCCATGTTAAATAGGGCTTCCAGATTCTAATAAGCCCCCCACCCACAGACCCAGCCACGGTTGTGGGGAAGAGGCCGTTGTCCCCTTCAACATGCAGAAGAGGTGCTTGGTATCGATAGGGGGGACCCCACATGTTTTATTTTTAAATTGCCAGGCAATGCCAGCACTTCTTATCAGATTCAGCTGTTAGTGGGGAACCCAAATAAAGAATGTTTTTAGTAGCTATGTGGTATCTTACTGCATACTCAGATACGGTGATTTACCGCTTAGTGAATTGTCTCCTCTGTTCAAAGTGTGAAGTCAAACTTTTGCTATGTTCGAATGCCCGACCGTGAACCGAACATGGGGTGTTTGGCCCATCACTATTCAGGAATAAGTAATTCACAAAGGGCACGAATCAATAGTTAGTAATGCACAGATCATATGGGTCAAGAGCAGGGATTTTTCAATTTCTGAGTGATGCAGGGTTTACCCTGAACTCCAGTTTTTCATGCAACTATATGACTTGTTCACCTGCTGTCACAAGTTAGCCTGCAGTTCCTTGTTTGTGTTCTTACCTTCTTGCTGCATTCCTGTTCCTGATCCCTTCTCATGTGTTTGTCTGTGCTCATCTATGTGCTTTGTCTGCTGTCCTCTGGGTTTTATTTCCTTCCCTTCCATCACTTCCTGGCCCACCTCCTTGTTTGCCTGCCTTTATAAGACATGCTCAGACTAGGCCACTTTGCCTGAGCAACTTCCTAGTTGTCGGAGCTCCTGTGTGTTACTACTGTCTGAATCCTACTTTGACTACTTGTGTACCGACCCTGGCTTCATTCTCTGACCTTGTTTGTTTTCTGCCTGTCCTGCCCTCGGCTAGGCTGTCGGATTTCGTTTGTCTCCTCCCATTATACTCTGCTCCAGCGAGCGGTCTCCTCAACCTCAGCTGGGCGTACCTGGGGGCCGTGACCTGGTCCCAGCTTGCTGCAAGTCCATCCCCACCATTAGGGGCTCTGGTGAAGAAGCAGGCTGGGGCTTAGACTCTGCAACCTGGGGAACCCCAAGTGGAGTATCAACAAGAGCTCACTACCACAGGTGCTGACACCTGACTGTCCAGTGAACTTTGAGATGTACAGGAAGTCAGTCCCAGTGTTACTACTGCCCAGGGGCGGACTGACCATTTGGAAACTCAGGCACTGCCCGAAGGCCAGGGGCCAGTAGGGGGCCCCATGAGATGCCCCTGGTACCTTTTATAAAGGCTTTTTTGAGTTTGGGCAAGGACACAGGGGCCCCATGATCCCCTATTGCCCTGGGGCCCCATGAGTTGTCAGTCCGCCCCTGCTACTGCCACTAATGAATAACAGCTTCCTGCTCAGAGCTCTTTTGGACATTTTTTGGACATTGTGGGACATTAATTTTTGAGAGGGTGAGAGAGGACACAGGCACTGTGACAGGGCTGTATTTTCAGTCACAGCTGGAAGAGGATAGCTTCGCCTACCACCCAGGATACAGAGAGCACTGTGATTGTTGGCAGGTCAGTCTGGAAAAGGAAGAACCCAACTAGGGAACTGTAAAAGACTTCTGGGAGCCACTTGGAATTGGGGAAGGGGGGATGTAGTCCCCAGGAAATAGCCTCTATTAAGTAAAGAATAGCTTGGGACTAAAAGTAATGGGATGATAGTGTACTGCAGAGAGCAGGAAAAGGATGGAGAGGCCAGGGCTTGAGGCAGTCTCATGTGAGGATTAAGAGGAGTGAGTTGGGGTGTTGGTAAGACAAAGGTGCTGCTTGTTGTCCATGTTCACCACTGTGTTGGAGTGCAACTATGTTGTCAAATTTGTTTGTAGGTCACTGCTGTTTGAGAGATCCAGTGACTGCAGGAGAAGGTCGTCTATGGCTTCATAAGAAATCATCTCTACAGAGTCAGGAGTTGCCGCCAATGGCATAAATCCTGTGGGAAACACTCCTTGAGCGTCCAGGGTTCTAGACAACAGAGAATGGGAATGCTTCAGAAAAGATTGCATAGTGGTGAGAGGCCACTGGTCACAACCTCCTTATCCACCTTTTAAAGGGACAACACCACCATAATGTGAGACTTCGTTTTGGCATAAGGTCCTAGATAACAGACTGGAATAGTTGTTGCAGGATATCCCCACACACTTTTTTTAAAAACAGAACAAAGCAGCCAGGAACTGTAATTTACCAGCAATATAAAATTGCATTGTTTACTTTGTAATTGCCATTTTTGTATCAGTACATTGTACAGGTGCATCACTTCACAGGCAGGTTAAGGGCATCACCCAAGTATGTTATTTGAAGAGAATGTGCATTTTTAACCTTGCCCTTTAAGCCTTTTCAAGAGTGCTTCCCCCTGCTGAACAGTATTCTTGGGTTACATTTTTTGTTATTTTGTGTATTAAGATTCAGTAAAAGTAACATAAAACTGTGTGTTTCAAGGAAAGGTGTGAAAGAGATTGCTGTTTATGTTGAAATTGTGTAAGCCATACTGGTATGATAAAGTTAGGATGCCAAGGGGTTTTCGAATGCCCTGGAAGATCTAAACTAGGACCAGCATACCCTTGTTTTTCAAAACATTTTTTGCAATGGTACATGTTCCGCCTGGCAATGCCCATATCCCCATGCCCTTTATTTAAAAATTCCTTTTGTATTAACCTTAAAAATGGGCAAAATTAACTTGCTGGATTTGTTTTCCATAGATGGTAATGGGGTTCAGGGAAACAAACTTTTCTTTAAAGTGATTCTATATGCTCATATTTTATTTTTAAAAAATAACAAACAGGTTATAATCTCCTGCTCTGTGCAATATCCCCATTCAGTCCTGATCCTTTTATTCTGGGGGCCCCAGCCAGTGCTCCTGGCTCCTCCCCCCACCGAGTTCACCCATAGCAAGCCGCTCATTCCCAAGCCTGCTCTGTGTGTCCATAAAAGATGCAGAGCGTGGCTTAGCTGTGTCCCCTCTCTTCTGTGATTTGATCCCACTGCTGCGTTTGAGTCAATAAGGTCCTATGTACATGGAACACTTCTGAATGATGAAAACCGACTGTTGGAAAACGTAGGTTAAAAAACATCTGTTTAGCCACGTTTGCATAAGAACCTCCCAAATGCCCAGAATTCACTGAAAAGTGGTAAATTATTAACTATTTCAGACTGTTTCAGAGAAATACAGAGAGTAGAAGCAGAGACAGCAGTATGTGTTGAGATTAGCTTAGGTGTGAGTTGCTCATTAACATTTCTTTTGTTTCCACAGGTGGAAAAGGTGTCTGGTGGAGTGAATCATTTAGGCCACCTGGCAGGGGGTCTTCATGAGGAATTTGAGGTGTGAATGGTCATTACCATATCTTTTGTTTCCAAGGGTGTGAGAGGTCTAAGATGTGAATTGGTCATTACAATGTGTGACAAGCTTGGTAGGAACATCCTGTGTTCAGTGTTTTGTCCATTTGAGTACCTTGAAAATGCTTTCCATGCATTTTTCATTATGAAAAAAGGCTCTAAACAGCATCGGGAACTGGAAGAGTTAAAAAAAAATGTCAAACGCAAATGCTTATAAACGCAATTTGCCGCGTTTACAAGCATTTTGCATTTGAAACGCTGATAAAATCGACTGCTGCACGAAAGTTTTCTGCGTTCCAAAAAACGACTGTAAACTTAAATGCCTGTAAACGACTGTAAACGAAGATGTATACATGGACACATAGGAAAACATTAGGGTGAGTTCAGGGGCTGCTAAAAAAAACGCTGAACAGCTCCTAAACATGAGTTTATCAGCTGCAGTGTACATGAGCCCTAAGAAAAGAGAGAGAGGGCCTAGAGAGCCTCTGCTCTTGTGCACATCGCTGGATCAAGATTGGGGGAGGTTGCTGCTTGCAGCATGCATGGAGGTAAAAAAAAAACCTCTGCCTTTAGAACCACTTTAACCATCTCCTGCCTGCCATATAAGGTAATGACGGGCGCAAGGCAGTTCTCTCGTTCTGGGAGGACATCATATGATGTCCTCCTGTTCTAACCGCGCATGCGTGGCTCCGGGAATGTGAAGTGTGGCGATCGGTGGTGCACTGTGTCGCTCGGACACAGCAGATCACCGATCAACAGAAAGAGCCGAAGATGTCAGCTCGGTCATGTGATCAGCTGTGTCCAATCACAGCTGATCACATGTAAATAGGGAATTGCCGGTTATCGGCATTTTTCTCCTCACGAGCTGTCACGCTGACAGAGGAGAGCCTTTAATCGGCTTTACTCAGAGGGGACATGTGCACTGATCATCAGGGCTCCAGCATTGCCCCCTGTCAGTGTCCGTCAGTGCCAGCTGTCAGTGCTCATCAATGCCACCTGCCAGTGTCCATCAGTGCACATCAATGCCACATATCAGTGCCCATCTGAGCTGTCTTTCAGCTTTACCTATCAGTGCCAGTCAGTGTCACCTATCAGTGCCAGTCAGTGCTGCCTATCAGTGCCCGTCAGTGCTGCCTATCAGTGCCGCCTAACAGTGCCAGTCAGTGCCACCTAACAGTGCCAGTCAGTGCCACCTAACAGTGCCAGTCATTACCGTCTATCAGTGCTAGTCAGTGCCACCTATCAGTGCCGCCTATCAGTGCCATATATGAGTGCTGCCTTTCAGTGCCCATCAGTGATGCCTGTCAATGCCCATCAGTGCCACCTACCAGTGCCTTCTCATCAGTGCCCATCAGTGCCACCTATCAGTGTCCATCAGTGCAGCCTATAATTGTCCATCACTGCAGCCTCATTAGCGCACATCAGTGAAGGAAAAAAATCACTTATTTACAAAATTGTATAACAATAACTAAGAAAAACATTTTTTTTTCAAAATTTTCAATGGTTTTTGGTTTGTTTAGCAAAAAATAAAAAACCCAGGAGGTGAATAAATACCACCAAAAGAAAGCTGTATCTATCTCAAAAAAATGCTAAAAATTTCATATGGGTACAGTGCTGCATGACCGCGCAATTGTCATTCAAAGTGTGATAGCGCTGAAAGCTGAAAATTGGCCTGGGCAGGAAGGGGGTATAAGGAAGGGGGTATAAGTGCCCGGTAGGCGAGTGGTTAATTGTGAATTGCACATAACCCAGGAACATTCAGCTCATCAAGAGTGAGTAACACACAGAGCACAGGGGTCAACAGCAAGTAATGCAGAGAGCACCTGATCACAGGGGTCAAAAGTGAGTCACATACAGATGGCAGGGGTCAAGAGTAAGTAATGCATAAAGTCCAGGGGCCAGAAGTGTGTAATAAATAGAGTGCAGGGTTCAAAAGCACATAATGCACAGAGCAAAAGCAACACTCTAAGTGTAGGAGTCAAGTGTAAGTAACGCATAGGAGTAAGTAACACACAGAGAACAGGGATCAAGAGAAAGTAACACATATAGAACACAGTAATGCAATTTACTGGGCACGATTTCCACAGGATTTTGGAATATGTCAGAGGGAATTTTTTCACATTCAGCCAAAAGAGCAATTGTGGGGGCAGGTACTGCTGTTGGAGAAAAAAACCTGCTTCCAAATTAGCATTCCAGTTTCTCACAAAGGTGTTCAGTAGGGTTGAGCTCAGGTCTCTGCATAGATCACTCTAGTTTCTCCACACCAAACTTATTAATGTACACAAAAGTGAGAAAGTATTTGCCAATTTCCCGCTTATTTTTTTTTTTTGTATATTTGTCACACTTAAATGATTAAGATCATTAAAAAAATTTTAATATATTACACAAAGATAACCCAAGTGAATACAAAATGCATTTTTAAATGATGATTTCATTTATTAAGGGGGAAAAACTGTCCAACCCAGCCTGGTCCTATGTGAAAAAGTAATTGCCCCCTTAGTAAATCATAAATGAACTGTGATTTTTTTTTTTAGAAAGCTGAGCTAAATTTCACTTGCCACACCCAGGTCTGATTACCGCCAGGTATGTTGAATCAATACATTGCTTAAATAGAAGCTGTTTGACAAAGTGAAACATGCTAAAAGATCTCATAAAGCAACACATCATGATCTAAAGAAATTAAAGAACAGATGAGAAAAAAAAATAATTGACATGTATCACTCTGAAAGGGTTGCAAAGCCATTTCTAAAGCTTTGGGTCTCCAGCAAACCATGGGGAGAGCGATTATCATTAAATGGAGAAAACTTGGAACAGTGGAGAACCTTACCAGGAGTAGTCGGCTTACCAAAATTACTCCAAGAGCACAATGACGACTCATCCAGGGGGTCATAAAAAAACCCAGAACAATATCTAAAGGACTGAAGTTCTCACTTGCCTCAGTTAAAGTTGGTGTTCATGATTCAACAATAAGAAATAGACTGGGCAAAAATGGCATCCATGGGGAAGTTCCAAGGTGAAAGCCATTGCTGACCAAAAATAATACAAAAGCTCATCTCACATTTGCCAAAAAACATCTTGATTATCCCCAAGACTTTTGGGTAACTATTCTGTGGACTGACGAGACAAAAGTTGAACTTTTTTGGAATGTGTGTATACTGTTACCTCTGGTGTAAAACTAACACAGCATTTCACAAGAAGAACATCATACCAACTGTCAAACATGGTGCTGAGAATGTGATGATATGAGGCTGCTTCAAGACCTGGACGACTGATCATAATTGATGGAACCATGAATTCTGAGCTTTACCAGGAAATCCTGAAGGTGAATGTCCAGACATCAGTTTGTGACCTCAAGCTCAAGCGCACTTGGGTTATGCAGCAGAAAGTCCACTTCTAAATGGCTAAAAAAAGATAAGGCTTTGGAGTGGCCTAATCAAAATCTGGACTTGAATCTAATTGAGATGCTATGGCATGACCTTAAGCAGACCATTCATGCTCCAAAACCCTCCATTGTGCCTGAATTAGAACAATTTTGTAAAGTAGAGTGGTCCAAAATTCCTCCACAGCAATGTGAAAGGCTCATTGCCAGTTATGGCAAATGCTTGATTGCAGTTGTTGCCGTGAAAGGTGGCACAACCAATTATTAGGTTTAGGGGGAAAGTACTTTTTCACTTAGGGCCAGGCAGGTTTGGACATCTTTTTTCCCTTAATAAATTAAATCATCATTTAAAAACTGCATTTGTATTTACTTGGGTTATCTCTGTGTAATATTAGAAATTGGAAAACAGAAAAAAAATAAAAAAAATCAGAAAAAGGAGAAAATACTTTTTCAAAGCACCATATGTGTTCATGAAGCTGGATTTGTGCAAAGGGGCACTGTCATACTGGAACAGCAAAATTCCTTCTCCCAACTATTGCTACAGACCTGGAAGATCACAATTGTCTAAAATGTATTTGTATGTTGTAGTATTAAATTAACCACTTCCAGTCTGGACACTTTTACCCCCTTCCTGTCCAGGCCAATTTTCAGCTTTCAGTGCTATCACACTTTGAATGACAATTGCGCGGTCATGCAACACTGTGCCCATATGAATTTTTTAGCATTTTTTTGAGACAGATAAAGCTTTATTTTGGTGGTATTTATTCACTATTGGGATGTTTATTTTTTTTGCTATGTAAATTAAAATGTCCAAAAATTTAAAAAAAAAGTGTTTTTCCCTATAAAATTTTGCAAATAAATAGTATTTCATCACAAATCTTGGCCAAAATGTATTCCTTTATATTTTTAATAAAAAAAAAAATAACCAAAATTAGTTTATAACCAAAAATTATAATTTGTAAACATTTTTTTTTTACATTTTTTTTTTTAAATATTATTTTTTATTATATATTATTATTTTTTTACATATTGTCACACTAGCAGTACAGTGTCACCATAGTGACACTGTACTACTTGTGGGGGGTGATGAAGATTTTTTTTTTACACTGATTGCTTTTACACCCATAAAGGATGTAAAAGCAATCATTTCTCCTTCTCTCTAGCTGCATTCTTGCAGCCATTGAGAACTACTGAGTGAGCTGTTATTGGTCACAGCTTGTCACATGGTACAAGGCTGTTGTGAATAGCCTTGTACCATGTGACCTCTGTGATCATTCACAGATTTCACACGTAGTAAGCAATGATGTCACAAGTGACATCTTGCTTACTACTCTGCATGTGATCACTGATTGGCCAATCAGCGATCACATGATCGTACAGAGGTCCCGTCCGATGATCGGTGTTCCACTGTGTCCAGAGGACACAGCGGGCACCGGATCATGGTGCTGCGCGCTCCCAGGGAGCGCACAAGCAGGGTGCGGGGAGGCCGTTTATAAATGGCCACCGACCCTGCACTGCCACTGTCCGGCCATTTATATACAACGGCCGGATGGGAGGTGGTTAACAGTACTCTTCACTGAAAACACACATACACAGTTCTTTCACAGCTTGACACCCGCCCACACTAATTGTGGGGGGCGGTTGCTCCTTGCCAAGCAACGTACTGGCACGTTGCAACCTTTCTTCCGGGTTTGGGGTGTGCATGCACGTGCCCCCTTGCAACCCATGCAATCATTTTGGCTGAAGTCAGCTCATTTACTGTGTTCAATCACACAGAGTTCGGTGTTTACAAAACACAGAACTCTGTGTACAGGGAACAGTGATTTATCTATTTCTTCTCCCTGCAAAGCAGAGAGAACAAACAGTAAAAGCAGCACATATAACACACATTACGCAGTGTTAGGCACACAGTTAACCCTTTGATTGCCCCTAGATGTTAACTCCTTTCCAGCAAGTGTCATTAGTACAGTGATAGTGTACAGTATTAGCATTGATCACTGTATAGTGCCACTATAAATGTCAGTGTCAGTTAGTCAGTTAATGTACCTCCCAGCCAGCATCAGCTAGTGCCAGATTGTCCGCCACCCTATTACAGTCCCAAAATGAGTCGCTGATCAGCACCATTACCCTTATAGCATCCTATTTGCGTAAATTTCAGTATATATACCATAGTTTGTAGACAATAAAACTTTCACACAGATCAAATAATATACACTTATTGAGATTATTGGGATTATTAAGTAGCAGAATATAATTTGGGCTAAATTGATAAATAAATTCATTTATTTATTTTTTTCTATTGGATATCCTATATAGCAGAAAGGAGAAAGTATTGGGTTTTTTTTTATATTTTTTTTTTTTTTTCATTTATGTTGCAAAGAATAAAAACCCCAGTGGTGATCAAATACACCTAAAAGAAAGCTCTATGTGTGTGAAAAAAAAAAGATATAAATTTCATTTGGACAGACTTGTATGACCATGCAGTTGCCAGTTAAAGTAGTAGCGCAGTGCTGAATAGGAAAAATGCCCTGAGCACAAGTGGTTAAAGACTGTTCACATACATTTGGCCATATAAGTAGGTGTTTTGGTCAGGTGCCAACAAACCGTTTGTCTATATAGTATACATTTCTAAGCAATATTTTAATTAACCACCTTTATCTAAATTTTTTGGCACAGACATAGGGAACACAATATGGCTTTGTGCATACTAAATCCCTCAGTTATTGTTTATACGTTATTAGCAGAAAACCTATAGCCAAA